CACAACGTTGTCTGAACAATAGGACGGCCAGCCAACATAGTTGGACGTGTATCCGAGTGTTCATATCGGCAAAAGTGAATGCGCGAATAAGTGGCTCACCAGGAACGGATATGTCGTTAAAACAAAATGTACTATCCTAGACGCCACTGATCCTTGCCCATAAGCATTCGTTCCAAAAATCGAACCTGCAAAAAGGGTGCGTGAAATTTGGAGCGACAAAAACAACGACTTCCTTGCACCCGGCCGTCGCAGTTGGACAAGATCTTGAAGAGTTGCGGCCACACAAACATATTTTCGCTTTAGTCAAATTGTAGCGAGAACGACACGACAGGGGGGTAGACGTTTATTGCACACCGAAAAATGGGCCCATGAGGGTCTCGCGCGCGCCATCGAATATTGACTAGGTTTCCGTCCCACAACGCAACACAGGTGCGGATGTTAGAGACGAGCCAGTCCTTTCGCCTCGGGAGCTCTGACTTGGAAGATCCGCCTTCCTGTTTTCGCCTCGATCTCCGCTTCTCTGCACCCGATTTGGATCGGCCAGGAGTCGTTCGAGAGCTCTCGACTTGCTTGTTCGGGGCTGTGTCAATCGGCTCGGCCTCGGTGCTGTGGGCTGCGCTAGCGGCGTATTTGTCTGATTTATTGCGCTGTCCACATGTTCCCGCTCCGTAGTTCCGGGCCCAGGCTTGTCGCTAGCCGTCTTTCGCGATCCGCTCTCAGCTAGCTCCGAAGAGCTCCCCAGAGCCATTCTTGGAAGCGGCCCCTCTACACCCGCCCCTCCTCCAGGACCTTTCTTCCTCTCGTACCATGGTCGCAGGAGAGCAGCATTCACCCAACGTTTCATTCCTCCGCAGTCGATTAAGAAGTTGCCCTCTTTCTGGTCGATAATGGTGTAGGGGCCTTTCCAGCGTTCTCTGAACTTGCTTGCGCCCGGCCCGTCATGATCCGGCCGATCGTTGTTCCGTAACTTGACCCGTTCTCCAATCCTGAATGGCCTCCACTTGTGAGCCTCATGCCTGGCGTCGTAATTTCGCTTATTCCGCGCTTGTCGAGCTTTGGTTTCGCTTCTAGCTTTCCATCGCAGTCGCTCTTGATGCTCAGCTGGATGTTTCCACTCACCCTGGTTCGGTAGGCAAGTATCGAGCGCAATCCGTGGTTCTCTGCCGAACAGTAATTCGAATGGCGAGACCTTGGTGGTTGATTGCATGCTGGTCCGATACGCGATCAGAACTTGAGGCAAAGCATCTTCCCATGCCAACTTCGTGCAGTTTATCCACGTCTTCAATGTCCGGTTGAACCGCTCGGTCATGCCGTTGGTTTGTGGGTGGTACGGTGAAGTTCGCCGTCTCTGGATGCCCCACTTGTCCAACACTGACTTAAACGCTCTTGACTCGAAGCAGGGCCCTTGGTCCGTGATGATACACTGTGGGATCCCATACCTTGCAGGCACATTGAATTCGAATACTTGCGACACTGTCTCGCCTGTTTGGTCCTTGATTGGTATGGCTTCCACCCATCGAGTGAAGTGGTCAATCATCACTAGAATGTATCTGTTTCCTGCTCGACTCACTGGTAAGGGCCCAAAGACGTCCAGTCCCCAACACTGAAGTGGCTCACCAACCTCCATCGATCGCATCGGAGGTCTCGGGGACTCCATCTCCCGACTCGTTTGGCAGTTTGGGCACTCCCGAAGGTATGCCGCGACGTCCTTCCTCATAGTTGGCCAAAACACTCGCCTCCGCAGCAATTCAAAGACCCGCTCGAATCCCATATGGGCGCCATCATGAGTTATGCGCATCACACGTTCTCGCTGATTTGGTGGAACAAAAGGCACTTTCCGTCCGTCTATCGCCACCACCACGTGATCGTTTTCGACCTTCAACCTGTCCCAGATCTTGAGGAGTTCCTCCACCTCCTCCGATGTAGCCTCCGGTTTGGTGCCAGCCCGTAAGTGAGAGCACAACACCTTCATGAATTCATCTGTCCTTTGATCTCCCAGCAGGTTCCTCTCTCCCATCGCGAACGCACGCACCGGTATAGCATGGTCTGGCATGATGTCGTCCAAACACGGGGCGTGACAACATATCTGGCAATACATTCTGCGTACCATCCACGTGCTCAATGGTGAAGTTGAATTCCTGCAATCGGTAGGCCCATCGCGCAAGCCGTCCCCGCGGGTCTTTCGCCGTCATCAACCACGAGAGCGGTTTGTGGTCAGTGACGACCCGGAATTCATTCGCCAGTAAGTAATTTCTCCACTTCTCTAACGCCCACACGATGGCCAAGCATTCTTTCTCCGTTGTTGAATACTTCTGCTCCGCCCCGTCAGCACTCTGCTCGCGTACTCCACCACCCCAGCCGGTTGAGACAAAACCGCACCGATTGCCACGTTGCTTGCGTCGACCGCCACAGTGAACCTCTCACCAGGATTGGGTAGCCGTAGACATGTCGGGGCTTCTGCTATGCATGCCTTTAGCTGGTCAAAGGCTTGATCCGCTTCAGCTGTCCACACGAACGGCACGTCCTTGCGAAGCAGCTTTAACAACGGGCTGACCTTCTCTGCGAACTGGGGCACAAACTTTGAATCATATGCCACAACACCCCAGAACGAACGGAGCTGACGCTTGGATTTTGGTTTTGTGAAGCACTTGATAGTCTCGCGTTTCTCCGGAAGTGGATGGACTTGACCATTGCCCACGATGTGACCCAAGCATGCAATTGACTTTTGGCTAATCTGCGACTTTTTACGACTGAGTTTCAGACCAGCATCATCTAGTCTCTGCAGTACTGCTCCAAGTCTGGTCACATGTTCCTGTTCCGTCTCAGAGAAGACGATGATGTCATCACCGTACACAACCACGCCTTGCAGGTTCGCGAGGACCATCAGCAACAAACGCCTGAATGTAGCCGGGGCGTTGCACAATCCAAATGGCATTCTCAAAAACTCATACTGCTGGCCATTGACACTGAAAGCCGTCTTGTGGCGATCTTCTTCTGCGATCGGCAGTTGCCAATATCCCGAGCGGAGATCAATCAGAGATATCTGCTTCGCACTGTGAAGGCTTGAGAAAATTTCTTCCATCTGAGGCATCGGGAATGCATCCTTCACCGTCACCTGCTTCAGTTCTCTGAAATCGATGCAAAATCGATAGGTTCCGTCGGCCTTCTTCGTCAATAGCACGGGTGATGAATACGGGCTGTGCGTTCGCCTGATGATTCCTTTCGATTCCATCTCGGTCACCTGCTTCTGTATCTCCACCAGGGTGTTCTGTGGAATTCGTCTGAAGATTGGCTTGCATTGTCCTCCTGGGATCAACGGTATTCGGTGTTCAACCCAATTGCAAAATCTGTAATCATCTTCCGCGTCTGTGAATAAGTGGGCATACCTGCTCAGTACGTTGCGTATTGCACGGTTCTGACAATCAGGCACGGCTTTGAGGGCACCAACCCGGTCGGTTCTCCCTTTGTTTATCTCGATCGTCTCGTTAGCCACGATCACCACATCGTTTTTTCAGGTCAATTGTGACACCGAGCCGTTTCAGGATGTCGGTTCCGATGATGGTTTCGGTCGTCTCCTCCACGATGAACATGTCATGGCTGATGAGCGTTTCTCCTATCCTGATTCGTAACCGCTGCGTGCCCGTCACTTTTAAAGAATGCCCGCCGACCGTCTGCATCGTGATTGAAGATGGATTTACTGGAACCCGTTGAACCTCTTCGTAATTGACACTGCTGCTCTTGGGTCTACTATGGCTCGGACAGACACCCTTCTATAGTTACATGGAGGACTGGTACTCGCCACCGAACTCGGCATGGATAGAGAGAAACAATGGGGCACATTGACGTTGGTGCAGAATCTCGCCACCATGACCATTCTGGTTGCATCGGAAACAGCGGCGACCGTTCCGGATTACCTGTACATTGCGTTGTGAAGTGGTGCTTGAAGACTCTATCGACAACAGCTGCTCCACCATTTCGGAAAGGCGATTTACTTTCTGTTCCAACTCAGCATGCTGGATGCTTCTCACTGTCACTCGTTCCGACAAATTCTGGGCGACCGTCACCAGATCCAACGCTTGCCTGTCTCCCACCAGCGACGCCAATTTCACCTGATCATGGAGTGGACGGGGCAGACTTCAGATAAACTGCTGTTTCAGTAGGCGCTTTCTTGCTCTGCCCTCTAACTCGGGGAGCCCAGATCGTTAGATGTCTGTCCAGCTGCTGGAAAAACACCATCAAATCCTCCTGTTCGTCCCACCTGGCTGCGTGAAATCGTTGCAGTGCTCGTTCTCTCTCCAGATCCTTCCCAAATTCTGCACACAAGGCAGCCCTCATCTCAGCGAACGAACAACCGGGTTTGGCCTTTCGAGTGAGCAGATACACCGCCTTGGCTCGTCCACTCAACCGTGTGCCCAAAGCAATTAGCAAATTTGCATCCCCCCTCACACCCGTGCAAGCCGCAATTCCGTCGAACTCATCGAGCCACGCCTCCACGTCACCGGCCGCAAATTGCTCTAACTGGGTCAACTCCATCACGATTGGTCACGGCACCAGTGTAGCGAGAACGACAAGACAGGGGGGTAGACGTTTATTGCACACCGAAAATGGGCACATGAGGGTCTCGCGCGCGCCATCGAATATCGACTAGATTTCCGTCCCACAAAGCAACACAGGTACGGATGTTAGAGACGAGCCAGTCCTTTCGCCTCGGGAGCTCTGACTTGGAAGATCCGCCTTCCTGTTTTCGCCTCGATCTCCACTTCTCTGCACCCGATTTGGATCGGCCAGGAGTCGTTCGAGAGCTCTCGACTTGCTTGTTCTGGGCTGTGTCAATCGGCTCGGCCTCGGTCCTGTGGGCTGCGCTAGCGGCGTATTTGTCTGATTTATTGCGCTGTCCACATATTCCCGCTCCGTAGTTCCGGGCCCAGGCTCGTCGCTAGCCGTCTTTCGCGATCCGCTCTCAGCTAGCTCCGAAGAGCTCCCCAGAGCCATTCTTGGAAGCGGCCCCTCTACAATATGAGCAATGAGTGCGTTCTGCGTCGAAGGTTTGGTGCCGGTACAGTAAGTGAACCCCTATGCACCGGTATATCACGGTCGTAGCTCTGACGGATGGACGACATTTTGCGCCCGCTGGCACACGGATTCCCACGTTGCGCATTGTTTTCGCGCCGGTGTGTTTATGAGAGAAGAGGAGGAGTGGACGAGCGATGAGTTGCCCAAGAGTTAAGTAGGCCTTGACTTAAACTTAGGCTTTGCTTGTGGTCATGCAACTGCTGGTGTCCGAGGGCCCTTGGACCTTTTTGGCTGGATTCATTGGCTGACTCAGCGAAGAGCCGACTCCAACGGTGTTTGTATTCTGAGCTCCTTTATCTTTTTCCTTTAGGTTTATTTTCCTTCTCCAACCACATTTGCACACGCACTGCTATATACGACCATAGGCGTCATATTACCTTTCCGCTTTTATATTGCTTCGGTTAAGGTTTGTACTGCTTTGTTGCTCAATTGTCTTATCCAATTTGTTTTGTGGCATATTAGCTGAAATATGTAAATTCCCTTCAGCTAACATGTACTCACGATGCCAAGGCTGACACTTGGGCAGGTGCTTACTGTACTTTTGCAAAGATCTTGAACTGGGCCGAGTTGCATTGGGACCGCACACTGCTTTCCTTCTTTAAGTGGCTCCTTACGGTTACGATGAGACCGGATATTGATGTGATGCGATGATTTGTGCTACGCTACAATTCACAGGGCTATACTAGGTGTCGCCTTACATCATCGAAGTCGTACAAATTGATCGGTGTAGGGAGGCTACATTAAGGCTGCCCTCCAATTTCAAGTTGAGTTAAGGAAATGCTTTATATACTTAGGACGAGCAAACATTCAGGCGTACCCGCACAATTACGTGGATGTAGCATAATATAACTGCAACTCACAAAATGTAGATAATGAATGCACAAACACAACATCATAGGTCAGTTCGATTGGTTAGTTCTCGGACTACTTGATATGGCGTGGCAATCTTCGCGCTAAATAAAGAGTAACGGATGAACGGTTTTTGTTCGGATATATAAACTTGTACTTTTGCCTGGTTGATGAAGTGGGCACACATTCCGACAACACATAACGAATGAGATGACTTGTGTCCCTAACTGATACTGGCGCCGGTGTCTTGCAAGAACCGGGATGGTTGAGAACAATATGTCAAAAAAGCACTGTGATACAACACCACATCGCGACGAATCGTTTAACAACTTAGAGATTAATTTGAATTGCTTATCAAGTGAACTAAGAAATATTACTGGGGTGTGGTAACTCCACATTTGAAGAACCCAGGCAGCGGCAGAATATAGAATCTTTGGGGCGAAAATGGCGTGCAAACATGAAGCGTAGAGAAATAATCTCCTGACTTTTGTAAGCATTTGGTTTATATCTTGTGATCAAGAGAAAGCACGGCTAAGCATGACACGGAGTTATTAAACTTTGACGAACGCGCTTGCTAATCGCGCATTTGTGCACTTTGGATCTTTTAGCCGTTTCGTAGTGGCATTTTGTCGCACATCACTGGCGCCATACCTATTTGTCTGGTTTTTACAAGCTCTCCTTCGAATATCACTTTCTCGAATACACTACAATGAATTCTGCATTCACCTGGATACTCAACTCCGGGCCTCGATACCCATGCCATCCGCCCATCTGCGCAAGATGCCTGGACAGCACTGTTTCTCTGCGACTCCCCTGGTCACTTGTGGACTGTTGGGTCGCTAAGGCACACTTGCTTCTCGTGCTGATCTGGAGGCGACGGGGCTAACATGGGACTTCCGTTCTGCTCTCTACAACTCAATGAACCCAAACTCCCACATGCAACGA